AGACTGTGTACCAGCTGCTTGGACCTGCAAACTTTCCTTTTCGTTTTACCTCCACCCGCTCTCCCCATTTTACTTTGTGTATCTGGTGTTGGGGCGTTTAATGGCAAGTTGCGCAGTTTTTGCGGAATTATACCTTATGGTCCTACGATGTTGAGTATGATCCGGAGTGTGTTTGCAACCAATTGAGGTTGTGTGTGAACTCTACTTTCCAGTCATGCCATTTTATCGGGCTTAGAATAGTCATGCAAACACACGTTGTTGTACAATTTATTCGGAATCTATTATTTTTTTCCAATTTGGCTTCTGTGAAATAAACCCCACTCATCTCTATCATTTCAGTTAATTGGCAGTGTACTAACTTATGAAACTGTGAATTCTCCCGCAGGGATTTGTTTACAGTCGTGTGATGAAAGCGCGTGATAGGCTGGTATGCGTCAGCCATTCCTTTTTCTTTGTTTGGCTGGGGTTTGTTCGATCGGAACCAGTTTGATACATAAATAAAAAAACGAAAGCAAAATAAAAGCCATATTTCCACGGGGTGTGAACAAGTCAACTCCGGATTTCATACGATGTGATCAAACTATAAGAGTAATTAAACGTCGGACTTGTCTTTTTCCAATTGAATATACGCTACTAGCTAAATGCATGAAAGGAGTGTATTTTTTTATCTGATTCAGAACCAACATGTCAGTCCATGATTGAGATGTCCTGGACACATAAACATACACAAATCATACAATTGTTTCACTATGATTCTAATCAAGAATGAAGAAGTCGTTCATGTGATGGGTTAGTCAGTTGGATCACCAGCAGTCCGATCCACTTCAGCAGTTCAGGATCTATACTATACAAATCTCATTTGCAGCTCGGTGAGTAGATTTGAGACAAACTAGTCTCAAAAACTCACTGTGATGATTCTGTATTAGGTTTCGTTTTGGGGTTAGACGTGTCTGAGGTTAGACGCATCTAACCCACAACANCCACAACACCTAATCATCACATTGAGTCTTCGAGATTTGTGTTGTAACAGCGCAGGATTTATCTCGGTCCTGGATTCTCAAAAGGATCGTCTTCCGGTAAGATTTCTCGTCCAAATGGGAGGTCCACCAGTAGGGAAATAGAACACCACTGGAAACGTGTAGGAATTCACTTTTGTGCAAAAAATACGCCTTTTTATAGGAAAGAGCGGGGACACGGGCATATATACAAAACGATTCGTCGACTGAACTGCTGACAACCATCTTGACTGGTTGACGGTTTCGGACAATCCTCTGAGTTCGCCTATCCTTGTTCCGATTGGTTGTTCCAGAACCATGCAGTTTACAGGGAGTATGCTGACGCCCTGACAACCTCTTTGTCTCAAATCGACTCCCCGAATTGCAAATGAGATTTTCATAATTCACATCGGCAGTTTAAGTAGAAGAATGACCAGACAGAAGATTACCGGACACGCGTACCTAAAAAGTGGCAAGGGCTGCGAAACCGGTCGTTTGCTTCCGGGAAGTTTGACCAGTTATTCATATACTGCGCATTAGAGTATATCAGGATCTATCTACTGTTCTTCCCCATGATTCAGTGTACCAGACCTATTTATATCCTACTATAATCATCGAGATTCTGTGGCTAAGTTTGAACTAGACGTACGAGTGAAACGGGCGCTTGTTGATTAGCTTCCGATAACAGTGTGGAAGAGAGAACACAACTGGGAGAACAGCATTCGGAGTGTTTCCCTTGATCATGGTACCAAGTTTCCAGAAACCGGTTGAAATGGTGGTACCTCGATACTCAAAAAACATTGATCTTCGAAGTACCATTCATACTGTTACCCCCCCCCCCCTTTT